ATCCATACTATACACCGATGCATTTCATAGACCGTCCATATGGTTCATTCATATTATACACTTATGCATTTCATAGACCGTCTATAGGGTTCATTCATACCATTCACGTATGCGTTTCATAAACCGTCCATAGGGTTCACTCATACCATACTCCTATGCGTTTAATAGACCTTCCATAGGGTTCACATATTATATTATACACCAAAGCATTTCATAGACAGTTCATAGGGTTCATTTATACCTTACTAATATGTGTTCATAGACCGTCCATAGGGTTCACATATTATATTATACACCTATGCGTTTCATAGACCGTCTATAGGGTTCATTCATACCTTATTCCTATGCATTTCCTAGACCGTCCATAGGGTTCATATATTATTATGCATTGACAATATATAATCTCAAAGCGACATGACTAACACTACTTTAAGGGTCATAAGTTCCCGGTTCATTGGAATACTTCATGTTCATGCTCAGCATGGAGAAACACAACTCATTATATTAGTGTATGGTGAATCAATAAGTCAATTTCAATGTCACATGTCCCAAATTTGTTTTCCATAAGATTCATCATCATTTAGCATAGGACATCTCTATTTCATCTCGTTATATACTCTCCTGCCATCTTAAGGTCATTAGCTAAGTTTATGATTCTTGGAAACTTAATATTGAAGTCATTTGCAATTATTATTTTAGAAGCATACATACTATGATTGCAACCATTGGAACATACAAGACCTCGTAATTCTCCTTTTGGCACGTGGCCACATAACATGGTCATACTATTGCTTCCTTTTGCTTGCCATGGGTGATCATAAAATATTCAAAACATTTAAAATATTTAGGAATACCGTAGCCGTTACTCAAGAGAATTTAAGAGATTATAACATATTGGGAATGCTTATAAAAGAGAGAATGGTGATTTATGACTGAAACAATGGTTCAAATCGTAGGTATTAGTTGAAACAACCACATTTGAACATGACTTGAGTACATAAGCATTTAGGCATTTCTATTTTTAGAGTCAATTTGGAACAATTGATTCAAGGCTCATTTCAAAATCTTTCACACATTATTTTATCTCATCGGCACTGTTGGCCACAAGTATAACTTTTATTCTTGGCACGGTGGCCACACTTTATATTTCCAACTCACTTCTTTCACTTTCAAACATCTTTATAGATTATAAACAATAAGAGCATTTGAAGTCAAGGCCTTAAGTTCATATATGAGCAATAAGAGTCGTAAGCACATTGAGTTTTCTTCCACAATTTGGCATAACAACTATCATTTGAAACACGAATTTAAGTCATAACAATTAATAAACAAACCATACTTGAACACATTCTCGAATGATACCATAATGTGATAGGAGCATTTGGAACACATATTGAACATATATCTTTCGACACTTTGCTTACTCGGATGAACGAATTTATTAGGAACAACTCGGAACATGGAAATTAGGAACTTGGGCCAACCATACTTGAAACATACAAGAGCATCATGGGATTCAATCCTAAGAGAGAAGTTTAGCCAACATACCTTGTTTTGAGTTTTCCTTAAATTGCTACAATGTACCGTAAATCTCAGCAACTTTAATCTATTTAGAGACATAACAAAAATTTAACCATAATTAGGAAGATATTCATGGATTCTGCTCATTTGAGCATTTTATCAAACACTAGGTGGGCATTATAATCTCAAGGTTCTTCTTATGGTGGATTCCTTCATCCACAATAAATCATTTATCCATTTTAGTTCAACAACCTCTCTACCACCCTTATAAGTACATTCATGCACAAAGAGCAACTACCACACCTAAGAATCATACTTCTCATTACCTACTTTCAGTCCAAATCCCGAAATTTAGGGCTAAGGAGCATAACCTTACATCTTAGATGAAGATCTTGTGGATTCTCCCTTGAATCCTCAAAGCTTGAGCAAAAATTTGAAGTATAAAGATGTTGGTGCCCTTCCTTCTCTCTCTAGATCCCTTTCCTCTCTCTAAAATATCAGATGTTTTGCTCCCAAATGACCCCCTTATGCCTTTTTATGAAAATTGGGTTGGGTTAAAAAATTCAAAAAATAACCCCGATGTCAATTATGTAGTGCAATTCCGTGTCAGTAGAACAGATATATATGGCCATCAAAATAGATATATGGCTAGCAAAATGGCCACAAAATGATATGTCAATTCTGCGATGCAATTTCGCGGTAGCAGAATGGTTATGCGGCCATTATAATAGCCACAAAATAATTTTTAAATTTTGGGTTGGGTCTGGTTCATTTCGCGATGCAATTTCGTGGTAGAAGAATATTTATGTGTCCATCAGAATGACCACAAAAATGATTTTCAAAATTGAGTTGCTTCTAATTCATTCTGTGGTGATTTCGTGGTCAGCGGAACAGATCCGCTATAGCATAATGGACCACAGAATTGTCGTTTTCTATAAATTCTTATACCAACTCCATGATACATTGGACAACCCAAAAAGCTCGTACCGCCTACAATTCTCAAACACATTAGCCTACCTCGGCACCACGAAACTCCAGGTTCTGGTGAAATTTTACAGGGCCTTACATTGTGGACTAGCGTATTACTTCGTCGGTAGGGACCTCGAGTACGAGTCCCAGACCGGATTCGGAGGCATTAGATGCGTCGTCGGTGTATAGGACCCATAGGTCTTATGCTTGGAGAGAAGCTTGGACAGCTTCCTTCTCAACTTCAGGCATTATTTTTGCATTGAAGTTTACAACGAAGTCAGCGAACACTTGCGACTTCATCACCGTTTGCGGCTGATACATGATATCGTGCTCACTTAGCTCGATGACCCACTTGGCCAGCCTTCCTAACAGCTCGAGTTTATGTAAAATTCCTTTTAGGGGAAAAGTGGTAACGACCGAGATAGGGTTGGTATTAGAAATAGGGTCTAAGCTTTCATGAAGTTACGACTAGTGCCAGGGCCAGTTTCTCGAGGTGTGGGTACCTCGTCTCAGTGTCGACGAATGTTTTGCTAATGTAATAAATGGGAGATTGCGTACCTTTGGTCTTTCAAATCAGGACTGCACTTACTGCTACTTCGGAGACGACCAAGTAGATGAGGAGATGTTTCCCGGGTTCGGGCTTTGAGAACAGAGGTGGTGATAAAAGATACACCCTCATTTCTCACAGAGCTTGTACGCATTCGGGTGTCCACTCGAGGCCGTTGTCCTTTTTGAGTACGTAAAAAAATTTGTGACATCTGTCAGATGACCGCGAGATGAATCTCGATAAGGCAACGATTCAGGAGCTCTGGTATCCTTTCGATAGCTTTGATTTGGTCTGGGTTAACCTCGATCCCCCATTCTGACACTAAGAAGCCCAAGAATTCCCCACCGACGGCGCCAAACTGTTTGACCAAAAATATAGATCTTGGTTCAACTAGTTAGATTTAATTAAAGAAGAGTCAATCTTAGCTAATAATAATATTCTAAAGACAAAGATATCAATTTTATGACAAATAATTTGTATGTTTGTCCGGATGACAATGAACGTAAACGATAATGACAGTGTCAATGATCCAAAAAGATAGAATATGGTATAAATAATAACAATTAGCAATAAATGACATTTAAGTAAATAGAAACGTGTGAGCTACCCGAAAAAGGGTGAGATTTGTGGGTATTTTATCTATGAATGATTGATAAGCCTTTGAACACTTAGATCGTTCTTGGATCCAGTGAAAATGTTAGACAAAAATCTTAGTAAAAGGTTATTTTTGTATGCTTGTAATAAGACCATATTCTCTCAATAAAGTCAATATATTTTTTACAAATGAATATCTCATACCCCCTATCATTGCGTCTCTTTCTATTCATAGGGAATATGTTCATCGAAACCCTAATAGTACATGTGCAGAGAATATCCACTAGAATATTCTCTTTAGTATCTTATCTTGAAAATAACCATTATAACTCTGTTAGTGATGTTCGACCTCGACCTTGATCTTTGACGACTCCTCGATTTTAATCCTTATTGACTCTTCGACCGCAACCTTCATTGTTTCTAGAACCACTTCGACCTTGGACATGTCTCTACTGGAGTCGCATTGGTGACACACGATAACACGTGAATGCCTCATTAATGCTAACATGACTTAATCATATTAGAGATAATTTTTGGCCCATACAAATTCGTTCTCAAAATTTTGATAATTATCCAAATGGAAGGCTTGTTAGAAAAGATGGAGAAGCATCCTTCTCGGAACCAAATCAATGTGCAGAGTTTATTTTAAGCTTCTAAAATGCAATTTGATTCTATTTTTATGTTTATTTAAGACCGAAGGAATTGAATTCGGGTCACCCATGTGGGTCGACTCGGATCTATACAAAAATATAAGTAAGTATATAATTTGTTATATATATAAAATATATATTATAGTTTAAGAAGGAGAATAGACAAAACGGTAGGACTCTCCTAAATCGTTGTGTCATTTCACACTAGATGAAACAAGTTCTTTCTTTTCCTTCTCCAATATTCTTTGCTCTTCTCCTCTCAAATTTATGAAGTTTTGTGAAGATTTCTTCTTCGAAAAGTGTTAGAAAACAAAGTACGATTTTAGACTGTTATTTTATATGATGTAGTTCATATTTGATTTGTGATTACATTGTCTGACTAATAAAACGAATACAATAATCCTGCAAATTATGTGTTTGATTTAATTTTTCAAAGACTTACCAGCATAGTTCTAGATTTCAAACTCCTCAAATCTCATTTCGTCCATATATATCTATGTCATTTAAGACTCAATCCATTTTATAGCGTTGGAAATCTTTGGTTAATTAATAGTAATAGAAAACAAAAAGGCCGGAAGGGTTGTGCCGAAATTTTATTAGTTATTGAACTCTGTAAAAAATATCAACAGTTTAGTCAAAGTTCCATTAGCATATAGGAGTATCATTTAAGAATTTCAGAATTAAAAAGGAAATAGAGAAAAAGGTTGAGATGGGGTCTCCTCCTTAGTTGGGATAAAAGGATAAGGTAATCAAAAACCATTGTGCGTCTCTTGGCCTCATACTTTGATGCTTTAACTAAGTTCCCTGCTAAAGGCAATGAAAATGAACACCAACATGCTCTCTACCTACCCAAAACACTTCACTACAATCCCAATACCAATTTCCTCTAAATCTCAACATCGCCATGTTCAATCCTTTGTTCGTTTTCCTATTAGAAGCAGCAGCAGTGATGGCAATAACAATGCAACCAGCAGCATAAATGATAATGGCAACGAATCACAACCCATAACACCACCAATAACACCACCAAACACGTTGGAGATTCGATACAGAAGACGTTCATCTAAACGAAGAAAGCAGAAGGAAGAAGAAATGCTTAATGCCGCAAAACAAGTTGCCAAGGCTAAGCCGCCGCCTAAGGATTGGGAATCCATGACTCTGACTGAGAAAGCATTGGAGTTGTATGTGGGAGAAAAGGGTCTTTTGTTTTGGCTCAACAAATTTGCTTATGCTTCTATTTTTATTATAATTGGGGCTTGGATACTATTCCGATTTGTTGGTCCTGCACTAAACCTTTACCAGCTGGATACTCCTACTCCTCTTGCCCCTGAATCCATGTTCACAGGTTCAGGCGAGAAACCTTGACTATTGGAAAGTTCAACGTTGAGGGGAGAGCAAGAGGAAGAGACATTTGTTCAGGGACCTTGGCCCAAAGAGAAGAATTTCCCAGTTGTTCCCCTGTTTGCTTCTAAGTCCAAATTTTGTAGTCTTGTATGTAGCTCGAAAGTTAAAAGAGTTAAGCAAATAAACAAGCCAATACACTCTCCTGAAAACTAGTATTGTATTTCGTTTTTCTCTTTCACTAGCTAAAGGAGAACCTACAAATCCATCAAACTTATTTTTCTCTTTTTAACCTGTGAGCTTAGTGGTAACCTTGCCTACTTCTCTTATTCCAACGCATAGAAATTATAGAATATGATCTAAAGGTGTCATGTACCTGCATCTCGACATTTTCATATGTTTCTAACTAGTAGTATTTGTTTCTTTCTTATTGGAACTACAATTATTTCTCTATGGTGTCTGCTTGTTCAGGCCTCTTAATTCTAATAACAGAGTTCAGTGATAATCGAAGTACTTTGTGTTGTTTGCAATAGTGATATTGGAAAACTAAGAGGAGTAATGAATCGTGACTAGTTGACATTGGTGACTGGACGATGGTTCTACTAGTCAGTAACCTAAGAGATTCTGCACGGTGTTTAGCTACCATTGTTGCTCAAAGTTTTCTCATTTCACATCTCCCAAAGGCATTACTTCATTTTTCTTTAGGTATTTCAGAATCTTTTTTCTACAGTCATACTAATGGAAGAAAGTTTTGGGGGTTGAATAAGTAGAATGTATGATGCCAATATAATTAAATACTGTCACAAGATATCCGAACTGAATCATTGCCGAAAGTTTTGAGAAAGAAAATATTTTTGAAACTTGTGATCTAAAATAAAGGTTATAAATTATTTCATTAAGGTAAAAACAAGAAGTTTACTGTTAAATTATATAAAAAATTGTTATTCAGACTAAACGTGAAAGTGTATCACATACAATAGGATATAAATATACATAACTTTATTCCTCTTAGTTTTCTTTTATCATATACTTTATTCGTCCTAATTTATATGAAGGTGTTCGGATTTCGAGAGTCAAACGAATTATTTTTTTACCGTAATTTTTTTATATATTCTTTTAAATTATTAATTATTATGGCTTATAGTACATTTAGGTAGTTTCCAAATATGTAAATTTTATTTTAAAAAATTAAATTTTTTTGTATCTATATTAAGAAGTTTGAATTTCGAAAAGCAAGAAGTATTGCGTGAATTCGGGATGTACGGTATATAAAAGGACATAAAAGATATAGAATATTCCTTTTGGTTTCATTTTATCCTCAGACAAGAGGAGCAAGCATAGTCGGAATAATTTAAAAATGAAATTCCTTAGGTAAGCGGGAGGCTTTTATTGGTGGCATAGGTTAGAAAGAGGAATAAGCAGCACGATTCTCGTTAAAAACAGTTCCAAATGCTTCCAAAAAGTTGTTCGTTGAAGTAGAGAAATCAAGGATCAGATTGTTGGCATCATTCTTTACTGACTTTGCACCACCTGATTGGCAGCTTCTCAATAAAGTTTGGGTTATCTATATTTACGTAATCACAACTCACATATTTTATATCAAGATATAATCATTTTTCAAAAATATATAAAGAAAAAAGACAAATCTCAAATATGCCGGTTAACTCTATCTCCTGTATTATGGTGATTGTCTAGATACCCAAATTGATGATGTCCATCTCATTGAAGAAGTATTAGGCATGTGCCTAATAAGAGTTTTCTTTGGTTTGGTAGCCAACCTTGTTGACTTGGTTTGGTTGGTAGCCAACCTTGTTGAATTTCTTTGGTTTGGTAGCCAACTTTGTTGAATTGTGAAAAATGTGTGTAAATTGTCAAATATTGTAGGCTTTAGAGGGTGAAGCTTTGGCTATAAAAGGAGAGCTTCAACTCTCATTTCTTCACACCAACAAAGAGAGAAAGAAAGAGTGAGGTTTCACAGACAAGGTATAAGAAAATAGTCTGTGAGGAAAATAGAGAGTGAGCGATATTGTAGTGAGGTGGGAATATCAAAAGAGGGTTATTTCTTTTGAGTGTTGTAGTGGTCTTTGGAGTATTTACCTCCGACCTACAAAGTGTAAAATTCCTTACTATAGTGATATCAGTTGCTCCTCTCGGGGTCGTGGTTTTTTTTCCCTTATTCAGAAGGGTTTTCCACGTAAAAATCTTGGTGTCATTGTTACTCTTTTATTCTTGTTAATTACCGTATCTCGGTGCTACATTATTATTCCGCTTTATTACCGTGAATATTATTTTGGTAAGGGGTTTATTCCCAACACAAATAGCATATATAATGCGGCTTCTGGGGCAGTATAATTTAGCTCATTATCATGATCTGGTCTCTGATCAGTTTAAATTTTCATCATTCGGCATGCTGGAAAAAGTCGTTCCTTTTAATATATCTGTCCCTTAAATTCAAAGAATGGAGGGTACAGTCTGATTTTGTTCTGAAATATTTTGGTGAAAAGAACTGAAACTGAATGGAAAAGGAATCACCCAAGGATAAAAGATGGTTCTGGCGAGGGCTGGTCCTTTTTTCTTTTGTGGCTTTCGTTCTTGCTGCGGTCTTATTTAGTTTTCGCAAATATTTTCATCGTTCTGATTCTTCAAACGCTGATACAAACCAAGTTGTTAACAAATATGCAAATGCTCTTAGCATTGCTATGCGATTCTTCGACGTTCAGAAGTGTAAGACTATATTCACATCGGTCACTTAATTAGTCCTAAATATAATGCTTATTTTGTTTTCATATTTGAATTATTGATTGCAGCTGGAAAATTGGTGAATAATAAGATTGCTTGGAGAGGAGATTCAGCTATGGGAGATGGAAGCGAAGCGAATTTGGATTTAACTAAAGGAATGTTTGATGCTGGAGACCATGTGAAGTTTGGATTTCCAATGGCATTCACTGCAACTGTTTTATCATGGTCCATTTTGGAGTATGGCAACAACATGAAGTTGGTGAATGAGCTGGAAAATGCCCACGAATCCCTCAAGTGGATAACTGATTTCCTTATTAATGCCCATCCTTCTGATAATGTCCTCTATATTCAGGTAAATTTAATTCCCTTTGACAATTACGAACTATCTTCAGTGATAAAACTTACTGAAGTATCTTTCTGTGTTTTTCTACAAGAAAGGTGGGTGACCCAAAGCTGGATCACACTTGCTGGGAAAGACCTGAGGTTATGACACGGAAAAGGCCTCTCACACACGTGAATGCGACATATCCAGGGACAGATGTTGCAGCTGAAACTGCAGCAGCAATGGCAGCTGCATCTTTGGTATTCGCGTCAATTGACTCTGCCTACTCAGAGACTCTGCTTAAGCATGCCCAACAGTTATTCAAGTTTGCTGTTACTTATAGAGGTTTGTACAGTATCAGTATACCTGGAGTGCAAGAATTTTATAATTCTACTGGATTTGGGGATGAACTCTTGTGGGCAGCTGCCTGGCTTTATCATGCGACTGAAGAGAAATCTTACCTTAGATATGTAACTACAAATGGCAACGCGTTTGCTAATTGGGGAAATCCATCTTGGTTTTCTTGGGAAAATAAGTTGGCTGGAGTTCAGGTATTGTACTCATACATTACCATGAAGTTACATGTACTCCAGAATATTAGAACTGATAGTATCTGTTTGAAATCTGTTTGCATCATTAGCATGAAACTGGAAAAACTATACTTGGAATTTGGAAACACTATGAAGAACACTAAATCTTGCTTCTGTTCTGCACTGCATCCTTAGCTTTGCTAAAATAAGTTAAGGCCCGTAATTTGGTGAAGCATGTGCCATTATTCTCATAAATAATGTTCATAAACAAGAAATGACTAATGGCTTGTTTTTTTAATCTTGAGAAGAAAGAACACTCCAGCTAACAGCTATGCAGATTTTTGACCTTTGATTCAGGTCCTACTATCAAGGGTCAATTTCTTTGGGTCAAAGGAAGATATTTCAACAGAGGAAAGTCTTTCACTCCAGTTGTACAGACAAACTGCTGAAACCTTTTTGTGTGGACTTTTACCTGAATCCCCAACGGCAACCTCCCAAAGAACAGCAGGTATTATGATCCTGTCAACAAGTCATTGTATCATTATGATCTTTTTCCTTTCAGAAAGAAAGGTAGGTATAATAAAACTGTAATTTTGTTGCAGATGGCCTAGTATGGGTTAACCAGTGGAATCCATTGCAGTATTCTGTGGCCTCTTCATTTTTGGCAGTTGTTTACAGTGATTATATGCTTTGCTCCCAAACATCAAATTTATATTGCAGTGGGGAGCTCTATGAACCAACAGAATTGCGCAACTTTGCAGTTTCACAGGCATGTATTTGCGTATTTCAAGGTTCAATTTTCGTGATATAAAATGGCACGGCCAGTTGAACATGTCATTGTTTCAGATGCATTATATGTCACGTACATTAAACATCTATGTCTTTATTTTGTTTCCAGTTGGATTATATATTGGGAAACAATCGAATGGAAATTAGCTACCTTGTTGGTTATGGAAGTAGATATCCTCAGCAAGTTCACCACAGGGGTGCTTCAATTCCAGTAGATGATAATTCTAATTGCAGTGATGGCTTCAAATGGCTTCATACAAGAGAACCTAATCCAAATGTTGCAGTGGGAGCTCTTGTTGGGGGACCATCCCTTAGTGATACATATATGGACTTTCGGAACAACATTTCCCAAAGTGAAACGACCACTTACAACAGTGCCCTTATTGTTGGACTCATCTCAGGCCTGATCACCTCTTCATCACAAGTAGAGTCCTTTGTGAAAAACTGAAACATAAACTCCAGCACTGTGTTTTCCTTGTTAAGTCGGTGAAAACCGCACATGGTTCACCATACAAGTAATAACGCTACAACTTAAGCGCAACTACAACTGCCGCCAGCTCCAAACGCCCTGCCTTAACCTGTCCTTACTACGATTCTTCACCTAGTCTATCCTCTGTGCAAATAGATATGTCCCTATGAGCGACTACTCTGACAAATGAAAGGAGTTGCCAAAATGTAAATTTATAGTAATATTTTTCAACCATAGAATGACACCCTTTAGTTGTAAGGAATTTTAGGCATCTATTACATATGCATGTGGTTCGGCCCTTTTCCGAATCCTTGCATAGTGGAAGCTTAATGCACCAGTTTTTTTTTTTTTTTTTTCCTATGCCCGTGCCATCACTGCCATGTGTATCTTTGAGTTGGGCATTTTTTGATCCCAAGTATCCTTTCATTGGGTGTTCCTATGTATATATTTGAAGAAAAAAGAATAAGATTATCTCATCAGTTATAGTATTTAAAGTAGGTACTATATACCAAACGCGTGTACCGTAAGGTTTTTATCACAATTTATATTGTTAAAAAGAAATGTGGATTTTTGATACATGGTCACATGTCACATATCTATCATATACATAACAAGTCATATCCTCAGTTAATTTTTAATATTAATCTTCATATTGATTGGAAAAAACAATCAATAAACTACTTAAATTAGGTAAATATAATGTCTATATATGGAGACACGTCATGGTTGAGGTCACAATTCAAATGACAATACAACGAGCTAAAAAATCTACTAACCTAATTGAATTTTATTATGTATAATTATATCTCAATTCTTAGACTAATTGTACAGTGAATTCATGACTATCTCTGTATTTGTTCAATCTACTTGATCCCCCAACTATCAACGGTATGAATTCCTTATCTATCTTTTAGTATCTACAATTATCAGTGTGTCATGAATATTTGGTATATATAAAAGTTCACGGAGAAGATGACACACAATCTTAAGCAATTTTATCTCATTTTATCCTCTAAATCCATTTTGGTGGTTTTATCTTAGTATAAATGGACTAAGATAAAATACTCAAAGGTCCCCACTATATAATTTGTGAAAAAATCTTAAAGGAAACTCGAAAAGGAAGAGGCAGAGACAACAAAAGCAAGAAAATGTGTGTGGGAGCGTAATCATCAACATTCAACATAAATCACCTGCCAATTTGTCTCCTGTTTATAGCCTCATCTGAATCTCCCCAAGTTTTCCCTCGATTTGCGAGGTGCCTCTTTCTCTATACCTTGAATTTTTTCCGCAAAAAAATTGTACACTTTTTTTTGGTTCTGATCGCGTCTGTTTCCGTTGCAATTCCTTTGAATGTTGATCGGAATTTGATGGNCGCTTTCCTTTCTTAGGCATGCGAATGGCACAGTTTGCCACGAATTTGTATGACTTTATGGTGTTCTTGCTATACTTTATCTGGAAATGCTGTCTTTACGGGAAGTGAAATAAGGCTGCTTAAAGTTTGGATGCCAAAGGAAATTCTAACGAGTTCAATCTATAGGTTCTTATTACTGATCCGGTTACACCTTAGAACTTTTGGGTTCAAATTTAATATTTTTAAATTTTTTAATGATTCTTCACATGTATATTTATGCTCCATGCTCCATCCAGACCGTACATAGGGCAATATCTTCTTATGTTTCTTGATTTCTGTTTGCATTTAAAAGTATTCTGCGTTGTCAAGGCTTTTGTGCAAGTGTTCCACAACAACAACTTCTGCGCTTTAATCCCAAGCTAGTTGGTAGGCTATATGAGTCCTCAATATCCATTTCGTCCAGTACTCCAGTTGGACCTCTTCCATTTGAATACTTAATAATATTTTGAAATGCATTTTGTATTTTCTAGACTAAATTGCTAGTGCATTGCGAAGAATATGTGATGCATTTATTATGCTTTATCCTGTGAATGTCATGGGAATTCCTCAACAAGTGTTAACGGAGTTTAGTTTAGCCTTTTAATCTGAATATTCTGCTTAATGCATGAAAGTGATTAAAATCACCATGGAAGGATCTTTATTTTTGATCTGAAAGTTCAAGAACTGCATGGTGGAGTTTTGATATGATTCTCATGTGGTTCATTGTGATTTGACCAACTTTCTTCTACTACTTAATACTCCCAAATGTTCCTAAAATTTTGTTTTCATAGGTTCCTGAGCTCACATCACTGACTTGATAAGGTGATGGCGGGTGAGGAAGATATTGATCTCTCAGCTTTAAAATCCCAATTGGCTCAAACAGACCTTACTTGGAAGCTAGAGATGGAGAAAAGTCAGTCCCAAGTGGATGCTTTGCAAGCAAAACTGTTGGAGGTAAATGCTTTTATTCAAGGATCAGAGGAAGATACAAAGAGAGAGTTAGATGCTCTATGGCATAGAGTCAGAACTGTTACAACGTTGATGACGTACTTGAAAGCTAAAGCCAGAGTCATGGCTGTTCCAGATTTGGCCAATTCCTCATGCGGTATCAAAGAACTAGATGGAGTAGGCCTTGTAGATAAAAATGGGATACCATTATCCGGTTGGTCTAGGGATGTAGATCTCTCGTCTTTTGATGATGCTGATGATGAAACATGGATTAGACTTTCGAGTAAACAAGGTCACCTTGATGAACAAGATGGATCTTATATGAGTGAATTACTCAGAAGTGTACAGTTGGTTACAGATGTTATGGAAAGTCTTGTAAAGAGGGTTATAATGGCGGAATCTGAAACTGCTATAGAGAAAGAGAATGTAACGGTTGGTGAAGAAGAGATTAAAAGGAAAGCGCTCCAAATTGAAAACATGTCTGTTAAGTTAGAGGAAATGGAAAGATTTGCTCTGGGTACAAATCTTATCCTGACTGAGATGCGGCAGAGAGTTGAAGATTTGGTTGAAGAAACTTCTAGACAGAGGCAGAGAGCTGCAGAAAATGAGCAGGAGCTTTGTCGTGTTAAGAGAGACTTTGAGTCTCTGAAATCCTATGTCAGTAGTCTCATTAGTGTGAGAGAAACACTTCTATCATCAGAAAAGCAATTCCAGACTATTGAAAGGCTTTTTGAGCGGTAAGTATTCCTCTTTCATCAAAAGAAATTTTCATAACCATAACATGATGTCAGACCTATTTCCTTCTTTCCTGGCTATGCAATGTCTGTGATGCATGAAGTTTATAGTTAAATATTTTGTTTTTCTCTCACTTTCGTACCACTGCATCTTAATACTTGCCATGCAGCTTGCTATAATAACTGGAATACAAATGTCAAAGCACAACTTCTTCCTGTGTGTTCAAATAACACTTGCCTTGCAGCTTGTTTATAATAATTGAAATACAATTGCACAATCATAAATTCACTGCATATTATATGTGTGTCATTTGGTAAGAAGATGCTTTTATAGCTCCATCAATTGCTACCTCATTTCTCTAGTTTGCATGTTGGTCCCTTTTCGTTTATAAATGTTACTTTCCGGAGTAATTTTTTTTCCTTGTTTTCACCTTTAGGTATTTATTTACTTGAAGGGAATGCAAGCATGAAAGCTCATTTGCTCTAAGTGCTTTAAACATTTTTCCTTCGAGTGTGGTTGATTTAGATCATCAATACCATAATGGACTCTTGGACATGCTTAGTGCTATAACATCCCTTTTAATCTATCGGGCTATTATAGGATCTTGTACTGATCCAGGGCCGTCATAGCTTCTCCTTTTCTATTATTTTCAAGGCTTGGGGTGGGATGGGGGAATATTTGAAACTTAACGGTGGTCATTGTTCAATGCAAAGGGCTGGGAGCCTGGGACTGTATAGAAATTAACAATTTTGGGCGTTATTCACATGACGTTATCAGGGATAGTTGAAAATAAAGAGAAATAAAAAAGTCCAAATTGTTGCTTATGGAGTTATTTTACTTTATTTTGAAATGTGCTTTGTTGCACTAGCTAACTCCCAGATGCAAGACAGATATACCATCCTAAATATTGAGAAGTAATTGGAAAGCTTGATTATCCCTCAAGCTTGGTTGAGAATGTATACCAGTTACTAGTTTACAATATGGTAAGATACAGATTCTAGGGAATAAAACATCTCCTAATATATGGCTGATGTCATATGGTCTTAGGCAATCCTCACCTCATGAGCTAGCTTTTGAGGTTGAGTTGGGCCCAAGGTGTATTTTCTTTACATGAGTTTTTGTGAGAACTTACTTCATAAAAAAACTATTTGTCAGAAGTTCAATCAATCAGTCGAAGCAGCAGAGCTTAGAGTTTTTACTCTATGTAAATACACCTATTTTAAGGGTGTACGAGGGCCAACAAACACAAAATTAAAAGGGTTTCTCTATTTTTCATAAAATTACTGGGTAAAAACTAAATTTCTTGGGTTTTTTATAAAAAGTTTTGGATATGTGTGCCGAGAGACGCAGAATGGCACCCCAATAACCATCTTGCCCACTCCTGGATATACTGTGTGACAGCACACTGGCTTGTCAAAGGCTTTTTTCCTTACATATCAGTCCAGAAACTAAAGAATCACAAAGTATTAACAGTTTGATGATGCCAGAATGAAATAGTTGAGAAAAATTAGTCTTATAGGGGTGGCCACAAAATAAGAAAGAAGGCTTTACTGCTAGTTTGTAAATCCTCTAGGTTAATCAAATATTAGGCAATAGTGGGTAGTCAACTTCATCAATTAAGAAAGTTTGGCAAATGGTTTTTGGTGAATCAATTATTGATTGCGAAATGTGAAGATTGAAACCTGGATTAACGAAAAAATTGAAATCACAAATTTCAAGATGGCTGAGATCTGAAGTTGTTGTCTTGCACGTTCTCAATGCATAAATGGTTACGTGTTGAATCCTAGTTCTCTCGAAGTTGTGGTCTCTATCTTATGACATAACGTTGAATAATCTTTTTCTTTTGAATTTTTTTTCTTTGGAGAATGAAGTTGAATAATCTTTTTCTCATTGATAATATTTTTGAAATCTAGAACTTTTAAGATGCATTATATTTAAAATGATAGCGTCATTCACACTTTATCCAATTAAATTGACATTTTAGTGTTGAGCAATACTGATTTTATAAAAATTCATTTATTGTTTTAGTTGTAACTTAATTGGTAAAATCATCTGCTTAAAGATATAGAAAAAGTTATACAATGACCCGGACATGTTGAATTATCAAAGAAGCACCCCTTTACAGAAGAATGGTACCATGTTATCTTCAACAGATTTCAGTCTTTCCTTATGATATGTTGAATGTCTAACACAAATCTAGACTTCTAAATTCTTACATGTGATGTTAATACTTGATTATGCAAGATTTCTCCCTTTTCCGCTCCTTCGAGCTGCTTGCTAAAATTAAAGTCTAAAGTCTTTAGCTTGAAATTTGAGTTACTGAAGTTCAAGTACTGAACTATTGACTTGTGCCTGCCTGAATTATGTATAAATGTAGCATGAATACAAATTGAAGAGATCCTCTTTAACATTTATTAATTTGAAGCTGAAATATGATGATCTCTTCATTATGGAATATGTTTTACTTCTTTAAAAAACATATATATATATATATATATATATATATATATATATATATATATATATATATATATACATGTAATCCTTTCATGTCACTGAAACCCTAGTAAACAACATTGAGAAAAACAACAAATATGAGAAACTACAAATAAATAAGAAAAGAAAACTATTTTTCTCCTCCCTTTTGAGCTTATCTTTCGTTTTTTTTCTTTAATTTCATGATTTTTTTTTAATTTATTTTGTTTTTGTTTATAATTTTTAGTATGCAAATATTATTTTGACAAAGTGAACAGAGAACGATAAGATTAGATTCATGATTTACCATTATTTGGAGAAAATCAGATTCAGGATTAGATTCATGATTTAATAATACTTGTCAAAAAGATAGACGATCCAATAACCAGTAATTTAGATGATATAGTGTTGCAGACTATTAAAACTTGATGCAAAAGAATTTTTTTTTGTACACTTCTAGGTTAAATTACTATTGTACATAAGGTCTGAAAGAAGGGAGTTTGAAATTATGAGTTTTTGTTACAAGTTGGAAACCCAAGAAAGGTATGCATAATTTTCTCAAACTTTAAATGGTGGAAGGTCAGAAATGATGTTTTAAGCAACCATCTTCTGTATGTTAATAAAATATTCATTTTACAGAATATGAGAATATAGTGAAGAATTATGGCCTCAAAGAGTGACGTTATTAGGCTCAAAATGATTTACTTGTTGCCTATGTGCACCACGATCCTGTATTTCATTACTCTCTTAGCATCTTAAAGTAGTTGGTAGCTGTATGACCAAGTAACATAGTAATAGTACAGAACAAAAAGAGAGCTCGAACAAGGATGAAGTTTCATCTGATTGGAATCCAGAGAACATCACTTGTCCTCGCTGCAATATCTATTTGAGCAAATATTAGCTTCAAACTTGGTGCTCTTACAACTAGCTTAGTGAGATTTTGTTAGGTTGGCTTCCCAAATGGTCATGAATCATGACTATGTCTGAAGACCTGTTTGTCATCTAATTAGCACATGAAGATAGAATGCTGACCACTGTATGAGTTGTTAATATTTATTGGTTGAAGTATCCATCCTTGTCAAAATACTACAACAACAACAACAAACCCAGTGTAATCCCACAAGTGGGCCTTGTCAAAATATGACTGTAAAATTGTGTTATATCCCAGTCAGCACAAAATGTTGAAGCTGCAATAATTCATTTAAGTAATATTTCATCATCTGGGATTTGTGTGCTGAGTTTGTCTTATATGAACCAGGCTGGTTGCCAAGACAACACAACTGGAGAGTGAGAAGATGCAGAAAGAGGTTGAAGTACAAAAACTGATGGAAGAAAATGTGAGGTTGACTGCTCTACTTGATAAGAAAGAGGCACAACTTTTGGCCATGAATGAACAATGCAAGGTTATGGCGCTTAGTGCTTCAAAAATTTAGTTTTATGTGTTTAGACTCTTTGTTCGTTGCGGGGCTTTGTCATGTTCCTTGTGGCCCTCCAGCTTAAAAAGCTGAATGAAACACCTGAAATCCTTATATCCAGTAAATGCAGCTTTGAGAGGAACCTTTGTACCCCTAGTTGTCTTGTACTGCGTCATTGATAAAATGCAAAATTTGTTCTTAAATCTAATGAAAGGACCAGATTGCACCCCCTTGTCTTTTACATCTATGACGAATTCTGCTTCTATTTTTCATTTCACTTTATTGAAGAATGAAGATGGCAGTCAGACAGTGGTATTGATTGTTGTTGTTTTTTTCCTTTCCTTTTTAATAAGTGACAATTATTTTGTTGAAGCATTCGAGTGCCTAAATCAGTGATGTACCAAAGTTAAGTTTGAACTGGTGGACATGCAGAGCAAAAGAAAGAAGCACCTTGATTACTTGGTTAAAATATTTATGCTTTAGACATAATTTTCAGTCTCTAAGGTGCTTGGTTACCTTGAACTCTCTAATCTCTTTTTTGATGATCTCAATATTGAATAGATAGAGAAGAATGATTCCAGCCAGCAATAACCTGCCATTAACGTTTCAATTTTTGTCAACATTCCATTTTTGTCTTATGAAAATGGTCGTAAGTGTATAGATTGCACTTTTTGAGAATATCATATGGATTCAAGTGCAGAACTTTTGAATCAGAAATAGTGTTAATGCAACGGACAGAAAATGTCCTTCCGAGACAAAGAAGCAGTCTTTCATTTATTTTTATTTTTATTTTTAATTTGGTTGTCTCCGGTAAATGCAGTCAAATTGCAGAAACAGAAAAGAGAATATAATCTGTTCAGGTTGGGCTTCATCTCTATCCTCTGATAAATGATTCGCTTTAGCTTAGACAGTAGGAAAATTTTCTTGAATAATCCAATAAGGTGTGACCGTAGTGCAAATTAATTGAAAAGTAAGCATTTGATTCTCACCTCAAGGAGTTAAATGCCTACTCTAGATACGCGGTTTCTTGGTTGTTGATATATACTTTTTCATCCATTATTAATAAAGAGAAACTAGCGATATCAGTGAGAGTTTCCCATAAAAAATATGCAGGTTTATTTCCTAATATCCCCTTCTAATTTCCATTCATGCCTCCCTTTCCTAACTAGTCTTAGGATACGTACGGTGTGCGTGCACCTATATTAATAAAAATAATTTTTATAAAATAATATAAATGGTATATTCAAAAGATATATTTGTGATAAATAAAAATTAGCAAACATATACTTTCCACTTTTTAAAAAACCAAAAATTTGATCATCTTGTGATAAATACGTTTTCTTGGCTTTTTGTAATGATGTTAAGTTCTAGGAGATATTACGCATGATTATGTTACAATTATATTATTTCTTTATTAGGCAAACATGTTATTTGATATTTAATATCCTGGTTAACGTTTATATTTGTTGATAAAGTAATTTTGAATAACTGAAAAATATTAAAATTGCTAGTATTTGGCCATATGAAAAATAAAAAACTGAAGAAAGAGAGAAGAATAGTCAAAAAATATTTTTTATGCCCAATACCTTGCATTTAAATTGATCTAGTATTTGGAGCCAGATCACATATTTTTGTAAGAAAGCACAAAAAGAATAAAAGAAACTAATAATTTTTCAATACTGATCTACGCCAAAAAATGTTGATGACAAACATCGAGAAGACATAATCAGCCGCCGATCTCGAGAAATTTTTCAATGTTTATTAGGATTTATACAAGTAAAATCACTCGATTTTAAATTTTTAAATTTAGCCATTCGTACATTTTTCAAATAAAGAAAAATTTAACATTCAAAGGTTTAATTAATTTTAGAATCTTAATTTATAGAAAAATAATTAAATTACTATCCCGAAATATTAGAAAAATAATTAAATAACTATTTTGTCTAGTGAGTAGTGTCCATAATCAAAGATTTAGAACTCTAATATATGTTGCACATGTATGTGTCTATATATTTTAGAAGGATTTAGAACAAACATTAACAATACAATAATTTCTTTATAATTTAGTACAATACTTTAATTGTTGGCAGAAGGTTACTCTTCTTAGACTATCAACTACATTTACTTATAAATTAATATACTTAATTTTTAAATACCTAATAGAATAACAATGTTGTTATGAAATAAAGACTATAAAGTAAAGACAAGTATAGAGAAACTGATATATTATTCGAATTCAAATTGATGTACATAATGAACTGAAATATCTTCTATTTATAGAAGAAAGGAAGCTGTTGTGTAAGCTGCTACTACAAGCTGTTGTGTAAGCTGCTATTACAAGCTGATGTGTAAGCTGTTACACAAGCTGCTGTGTAAGCTGCTACTGCAAGTTGCTGTGTAAGCTGCTACTGCAAGCTGCTGTGTAAGCTGCTACGTACCAGATATGAATAATCTTCTACCTAGGGTAATGTTTATCCATAACCGGGTACCGAAGTGATAAGCTTCTTCAGGAAGCTTATTTCCAATAGAGTACTAAATAAATAAACATATTTATGGTGGAGTCCCATAGGGATAAGCTTCTTCAGGAAGATTATTTACAACGAGTACTAAATGAACATCCATAATATAATATATTTATAACACTCCCCCTTGGATGTTCATTAAAAGATAATGTGTCTCATTAAAACCTTACTAGGAAATACCACGTGGGGAAAAAAATCCTAGTGAAGGAAAAAGAATACACATATTTAGTAATACGCATTGCTAGGTGCCTCATTAAAAACCTTATAAGGAAAACCCCATGGGAAAAAACCTTAGTAAGGGAAAAAGAGTGCATCGCGTATTTTACTCCCCCTGATGAAAACCTTGTTTCAAATATTTGAGTCTCCGCATTCCAATCTTGTATACCATCTTCTCAAAAGTTGAAGTTGGCAAAGATTTAGTGAATAAATCTGCTGGATTATCACTTGAACGGATTTGTTGCACATCAATGTCACCACTTTTCTGAAGATCGTGTGTGTAGAATAATTTTGGTGAAATGTGCTTCGTTCTATCTCCTTTTATAAATCCTCCCTTCAATTGGGCTATGCATGCAGCATTGTCTTCGTATAAAATTGTGGGTCTTTTCTCACATTTCAAATCACATTTTTCTCGAATAAAATGAATTATTGATCTCAACCATACGCATTCCCTACTTGCTTCATGAATAGCTATTATCTCAGCGTGATTTGAAGAAGTAGCAACAATAGATTGCTTTGTGGAGCGCCATGATATGATAGTACCTCCATATGTAAATACGTAGCCGGTTTGAGATCGAACTTTATGGGGATCAGATAAATAACATGCATCTGCATTACCAATACGATCTGCACCACTTTTGTTAGCATTAGAAAGATAAATAAGTTCACCATCTACACCGAGATAGAGTATTTCAGGACCAAGGAGCTCCTCATCCTCTTCTAGATGTTGGAACGGATCCTTATTCACTTCAAGTGATTGAATATTCATTGGTGTACTTAATGGGTACACTTTGTCCATGTAAAAGTATTTTTAAGACCCTCTTGGAGCTCTTCCGGAGTTCCAATAAGATTTATGTCACCAATATAAATAGCAAGTGTAACAAATTTTGATGATATTTTATTTATAAAAATACATGGACAAATAACATAATTTATGTAACTTTCTTTCAGCAAATATTTACTGAGGCGATTATACCACACGCGCACAGATTGCTTTAAACCGTACAAAGATCTTTATAATTTGATCGAGTACATTTCTCAAGAATTTGAATTATATGCTTCGGGCATTTTCAATCCTTCCAGGATCTTCATATCGATTTAGCCAAATAAGTCATATAGGTTAAGACTTGTATCTAAATAGTATGACATCTTCAAGTGTCTGGACTGCTAGTCCGATCCTCACAATCGTTTACAATATTGTATTAAATATATCGTCGACGATCATTTTGTGTCAGTTCCGAAGCGACATAACTTGTGGATATCTCATGAGTTTCTTTATTTTCAGGTACCTGAACTTTTTCAGGAGTTTCATGAAATGTTATGTCGTGGGCTCTNGGGTGTTGATACATTTTGTACTATCAAATATTGCTCAGACACTGCTGGTGTCATGAGAGAAAATCA